TCTCAGCAGAGACAATCAAACCAAGAAGAGCCTGGAATGATGTATGCCATGTCCTAAAGACAAACAGCTACCAACCAAGAACACTGTACCCAGCTAAACTCTCCTTCATAACCAAAGGTCAAAAAAAAACCCTTCCATAGCAAAGAAAAATTGAAACAATATATCTCCACCAAACCAGCCCTACAAAAGATACTTAAAGATGTCCTACACATAGAAAACCAACAAGACCACAATAAAGACCAAGAAACCACACCCAAACTGAGAATCCAAGAACCATAGGAAGAACCCAGTTGCCGCAGCCCCCAAGAAGGTGGATCACATGGCAGGAACTCCCAAATAACTCTCAGTCCTATCTCAGTCCTATCCTATTAACAGACTTAACTCTCCAATTAAATGAAATAGACTGTCTAGTTGGATTAAAAAGCAAGATCTTTCTATCTGCTGCCTTCAGGAGTCACATCTTGCCCATAAAAACAAACACATTTTGAATGTGAAAGGCTGGAACAAAATCTACCAAGCAAATGGCCCCCATAAACAGGCGGGAGTTGCAATCCTAATATCAGATAAAATAGACTTCAAATTAAAATTTGTGAGAAGAGATAAAGAAGGTTGCTACATACTAATTAAGGGATCTCTCCTTCTGGAGGATATTACAATTCTAAATATCTATTCACCAAACAATGGAGTACCCAAATTTATCTAAGAAACAAGACTTTCCCTCGAATCCCACATAGATCCAAAGACATTAATTGTTGGGGACTATAACACACCACTTTCCCCAGTAGATAGATCAACTTGGCAAAAACTCAACAGAGAAAACCCACATCTAAAAAAGGCATAGATCAACTAGATTTAACAGACATCTACTGAATATTTCACCCAGCAGCATCAGAATACACGTTTTTCTCAGCAGCGCATGGAACATTTTCCAAAATAGACCACATTTTAGGCCACAAAGCAAACTTGTCTAAATTCAGAAACATTGAATTTATACCTTGCATTCTCTCAGACCACAAGGGAATAAAATTAGAAATCAACACCAAAAGCCACCAAAGAAAGTCCTGTAACACATGGAGACTGAACAACACACTGCTGAATCACGAGTAGTCATGGAAGAGATTAGAAAGGATATTCAACTGTTCAAGATATTCAACAAAAATGAACACACAAATTACCAGCTCCTCTGGGACACAGCAAAGGCAGTACTCAGAGGCAAGTTTATAGCTCTGAGTTTCTACATCAACAAATTGGAGAGATCTGAAACCAACAATTTAATGAGACATCTGAACCTCCTTGCAAAAGAGCAGCAAGATGAACCTCAATCCAGTAGACAGAAAGAAATAATTAAAATTAAAGCAGAATTAAATGAATTAGAATCCAAAAAAAATATACAAAGAATAAAAAAACAAAGAGTTCATTCTTCAAAACAATTAACAAAATTGACAGACCCTTAACAAATCTTATTAGAAAAAGTACAGAACAATAAATAAACTCAGAGATGAGAATGGAAATATCACCACAGAAACAACCAAGATTCAGAACATTATAAGGGAGTGCTTCTCAAACCTTTATGCTAATAGGTTTGAAATCTTGGAAGAAATGGACCTTTTCCTAGCAAATATTGACATGCCAAAACTAAAACAAAATGAATTAAACCATCTTAACAGGCCCATATCAAGCATTGAAATAGAAACAGCAATAAGAGGTTTCCCATATAAGAAAAGCCCAGGATCAGATGGCTTTACAGCAGAATTCTACAAGGCATTCAAAGCACAATACTCCTACAAATACTCACACAAATACTCCCACAACTCTTCAATGAAATTAAAGGAGAAAGTTCACTACCGAACACATTATATGAACCCATCATAACCCTCATCCCAAAACCAGGCAGGGACTCATCAAAGAAATAGAACTATAGACCCATTTCTTTGATGAACATTGATGCAAAACTTCTCAACAAAATTTTGGCCAATCGACTTCAACAATTCATCCAAAAAATCATACACCACAATCAAACAGGATTCATTTCAGAGATGCAAAGCTGGTTCAATAAACTCAAATCAAATAATATAATCCATCACATCAACAGGAGCAAGGATAAGAACCACATGGTTATCTCAATAGATGCAGGAAAAGAATTTGACAAGATCCAACACCCCTTTATGATGAAGTTTCTGGAAAAATTAGGAATCCATGGAATATTCCTCAATACAATAAAGGCCGTATATGACAAACCTACAGCCAGCATTATACTTAATGGTGAAAAACTAAAGCCATTTCCTCTTAACTCAGGAACAAGACAAGGATGTCCACTCTATCCACTTCTCTTCAGTCCAATATAAGAATGCCTAGCTACAGCAATGAGACAAGATGCAAACATAAAAGGGATCCACATAGGAAAAGATGAAGTAAAACTCTCCCTCTTTGCAGATGACATGATCTTGTATTTAAAGAATCCCATGGACTCCACTCCCAAATTACTCAAGCTGATTCAAAACTTAGGCAAAGAAGCAGGGTATAAAATTAACTCTCAAAAGTCACTGGCTTTTCTGTATGCCAACAATGAGAAACGCTTGGCTGAAATTAGGAAAGCAACTCCATTAGAAATAGCCACACAAAAAATAAAATACCTATGAATTAACTTAACAAAAGAATTGAAGGACTTCTCTGATGAAAACTTTAAAAACTTGTAAAAGGAAATCAAACCAGAACTTAGACAGTGGTAAAAACTCCAATGCTCCTGGATTAGAAAGATCAACGTCGCGAAAATGGCAATACTTCCAAGGCTATTACAAATTCAATATGATACCTATCAATATTCAAACTTCATTTTTCAAGAAAATAGAAGAGTCAAGCCAAAAAATCAGATGGAACAATTAAAGACCTTGAATAGCAAAAAACGTTCCTCAACAGAAAGAACACTGCTGGAGGAATATCAATACCAAATTTCAAACTCTACTATAAAGCCATAGTAATCAAAACAGCTTGATACTGGCACAAGAGCAAACCTCAGGACCAATTGAATAAAATTGAAAACCCAGAAATGAACCTACAGACCTATAGCCATGTAATCTTCGATAAGGGAGCTAAAACAATACAATGGAAGAAAGACAGCCTCTTCAGTAAATGGTGCTGGAAAAATTGGTTAACTACTTGTAGAAAACTAAAGCTAGATCCTTATATATCACCCTGCACCAGAATCAACTCCAAATGGATCAAAGACCTCGAAGTCAAAGCAGACACTCTGAAAACATTACAGGATGGAATAGGAGAAACCCTAGGTCCCCTTGGCTCAGGCCGAAATTTTCTTAATAGAGACCCGGAAACACAACAAATCAAAGAACTGTTGGACAAATGAGATTGCATGACGTTGCAGAGCTTCTGCATGGCAAAGGACATAGCTAGCAAGATCAATAGAAAGCCTACGGATTGGGAGAAGATCTTCACTAGCCATTCAACGGACAAGGGTCTCATATCTAAAATATACTTGCATGAAAGAAACAAAAACATTAAAATACATATTTGAGGGTTCGTTTTCCTAACATCACATTCTCTGACTTTTTCCGCTTGACTCATACCTATACTAGATATTGCAAATAAATATGTATTTTAATATTTTTGTTTCTTTCATGCATGTGTTTCTAACGCATTTATAAGATTATTTCTTTGTTGCTTTGTATGTCCCTCCCCCACAGTGTAACCCCCGCTTTCACTATATTTGATGTCAGTATAACATGGGGAGGAGACGGGGACAAACAAGTCGTTTAAGGATTCAGGTGGACCTGTTGCAACAATGAGAAGTACAAAATGTCATGTCAAAACCAGCTTTACAATGTTGGTGGAAGGGGGGGAGAGGGGGTATGATTGGGTGGGGGGGGGGAGGGGGGGAGGCTGGGAAGGGAGGTGAAGGGTAAACAAAGGAGGTGGCTGCAATGCTTGATAAGAAATGTATGCATTATCCTGCCCATGTAATTGTAACCCCTCTGTACAGTATGTTCTCAAATAAAATAAAATAAAATATAAAAAAAAAAGACAAAAAAAAATAAATTTTTAAAAAAAGGACTCCACATAGAGCTCCCCTATGTCCCAGCAATCCCACTTTTGGACATTTACCCAACTGTTTACAAACAAGACCACACTAAAGCTACCAGCACGACTATGTTTATTGCAGCATTATTTACTATAGCTAAGATATGGAACCCACCCAAATGCCCCTCAGAGGTGAATAGATCAAGAAAATGTATATATATATATATATATATATACACACACACACACACACACACACACACACACACACACACACACACAATGGAATTGTATGCCTCCATCAGAAAGAATGACATTGCCACATTTGTTAGGAAATGGAAAGGCTTGGAAAAAATTATATTAAGTGAAGTAAGCCAGACCCAAAGAAACATAGGTCCCATGGTTTCCCTTATTTGCAATATCTAGAATATGTCTGAGTAAAGCAGAAAAGGTCAGATAAGGTGATGTTAGGGAAATGAACCCTAATTATGTATTCAAAAGTTTTTTTCTCTTTCATGCAACTGTTTCTAACACATTTTTAAGATTATTTCTCTGTTGCCTTGCATGTCCCTCCACCATGGTATAACACCTGCTTTCACTGTATTTGATTTCAATATAATTTGTGGACTGGAAGGTAAAAAACAAATCGTTTAAATAGGGATACAGGTGGACCCATTGCAACAATGAGAGGTACAAGTGGTTATATTGAAAAAGAACTTTACAACTTTGGTGTGGGGGTGGGGTAGGTGGGAGGAGGATTGGATGGGGGTTGGGAGGGAGGATGAGAAGGGGAAAGAAAGAAGGAGGCTACAATACTTGATAAGAAATGTACTCATTATCTTGCTCAGGTAATTGTAACCCCTCCGTACAGTATTAATAAAAGAAAAAACAAATTAATATAACAATGAAAATTTCCTGGAGATTTAGATCAAACCCTCTATATAGCAATCAAACATATGCGTTCAATCTTAAGAAGGCTTATTTCTTCTACTATGTCTTTTATCCCTAAAGCCATGCAGAGAACTTCTATTTGGCATAAACAAGATGTTATAACACTTTGGGGCAAAAATGCAGCCTAGTAGCCCTGCACCAGAGGCCAAGATGGAGACCTCCACAACCACCATGACCTTCCCCTTGGCACTGTGGTAGACAGGTAGGAAGGTGACCCATGCACTACGGAACACCAGCATGCTGAAAGTCAGGAACTTGGCCTCATTGAAGGTGTCAGGCAGGTTCCTGGCCAGAAAAGCCATGGTGAAGCTGGACAGGGCCAGAAAGCCAAGGTATCCTAGGACACAGTAGAAGGCAGTGAGGGAGCCCTTGTTGCACAGGATGATGACATGGCCATGTTCAGAGTGTGCATCTGTATCCACAAATGGAGGAGAGATTCCCAGCCAGAGTCCACACAGGGTCACCTGGATGAGGGTGCAGATGGGGATGATGAAGTTAGGAGCCCCTGATACCAGCAGCCACCTCATCCATCTCCCTGGGGAAGTGGCCTTGAAGGCCAGAACCACAGTCACTGTTTTGGCCAACACTGTGGAAATAGCCATAGTAAACACAATTCCAAAGGCAATTTGCTGCAGGATGCATGTGACTGTGTTGGGTCGGCCAAGAAACAGCAAGGAACAGAAGAAACAGAAGATGAGGGAGATGAGTAGGATGTAGCTGAGAGTCCTGTTATTGGCCTTGACAATGGCAGTGTCATGGTGTTTCACAAACATCCCAAGAACAACAGCAGTGAGCATAGAGAAGCAAAGAGCCATGCAGGCCAGAGCCATGCCCAAGGGATCTCCAAAAGCCAGGAAACTTGCAGCTCTCAGGAGGCACTGTGTTCTCTGTGTGTTAGCATACTGATGATCTGGGCACTTCACACACTGGTCCATATCTGATAAGAAGTGTAAAGTCCCATTACTTCTTGGTTTGAACTTCCTTTTCTTCAAAACTATTAGCAAATTGTTTACTTAGGTGTAATCCCAACATAATCTACCATAGTGCCAGCACTGACTGTCAAAAACTCAGTTTTGTTTCTTTGCTAAACACTAACTTCCTCCCCCTTCCAACCTCTTCAGTATTCAGATTTTTTTTGTTCAGCTTTTTTTTCCTTCAAGTATTATCACAAGTATTGATAAGATGCTATTTGGAGTATCCAAATATCCTTATAACAATTTTCTACACTTCTGCTCACACTAAAAGAATTGTGCAGATTTCTGCAATCCTATTGAAATTTTTTGGGGGGGTCCAGTCGCGGGCCTGAACTCTGGACCTGGGCACTGTCCCTCAGCTCTTCAGCTCAAGGCTAGCGCTCTACCACTTGAGACACAGCGCCACTTCTGGCTTTTTTCTTTTGCTTATGTGATGCAGAGAATCAAACCCAGGGCCTCACGCATGCAAGGCAAGCACTCTACCACTGAGCCACGTTCCCAGCCCTCCTATTGAAAATTGTAAATAATGCAGCTTTCAATTCCTTACACATCTCTGTAAAAGATTAATTTAGTTCCTGTGGCACAGTCCTTGAATTCTTTTCATTATATTGCTTTATCCAAATCATCTGTGAATCTGTAGGTACAGAGAAACCACTCTTGGACAATCTATATCCATGTTCCCTTCTTAAATGGAATCCCCCTTTCTGAGCTCTTGCTACATGTCATGAGCAATTCTAGGTATAGAGAAATGAATCTATGACTGATCCATGTTTTCTGTGTGAACAAATTGTAATTTTCAAGATGATCACTCTTCTTAGTAAGACTTGTGTTTAATGTCATGCTAGAGTTTACACCTGTCTTAATTATTAGAGATAAGAGGAATTCCTGGCGACAACTTTGCCTGCACTAGACTAGAAAGTATTACTATAGATGTAATTCAAAGCCCTGATCTGCCATACTTCAACTAGAAATGCAACTAACTACTTCCTAAATTTTAATTCTTAACACAGAGAAGAAAAACAGGCTCGATTGTCCTGAGATACAACTTTGCACTGACTTGGTTGGATTGATGCACACAAAGGAGAGATGAACAATTTCTTCATAAGTCATGGATTTACCTGTTCCATTAGCAATCTCATTCTCTGGGCAAAGATTACAATCAAAACAACAAGTAGCCTTTTCCTCTTGAGGAGATTTCCTGAATCCAGGACCACAACTCTCACTGCAGGCAGAGTGAGGAGTCTGAGGAAAATCAGGTCTGTGTCAGTAACACTCCAAAAAGTCCATTGTTTTAAAGAATGGTATTAATAAGCATAATGTTTCTATGCAGGTAAGTGAAGTTGATTAATTAAATTCTGTTATCAAAACCATATATCATGATTCCAAAAGGCTTTTGTGCTACAACTTTTATTTCTAACCTGTTGAACTATTGAAAAATATGGGATCTTTAAAAGGTAGAAACTAATGGTGAGAAAGTAAGACCCAATGTAGATCCCTGTAGAATTTCCTTGAATTCATGTCATCATATGTTGTCTCCTACTCATCTGTGACATGGGGGAAAAAAAGGAGGAGACATCCCTTTTAGAGGGTTGTGTGAACCCCAGGGCCATCCTATCTTCCTCTCCATTTTCCAGTGGCCACGAAGAGAGAATCTTCTCCAGTCATATTCAATGATTATCTCACCAAAGATGCCCAATTAGCAGGTCAACTAACAATTGAATGAAAACTCCATCCATACAAGGGATCAAAGAAACATCTTAACCGCATAAAGTGATTCTTCATGAACTCTATCACAGTGTTAGGAAGAAAGGTACAGTTTATGTTTTATGGTAATAAGATAAGTTAACATTTAGAAACACATGTAATGTGTTTAGTGCTGATTGCAGGGTTTAAACTCAAGTTTTGGGCACTGGCCTTCAGTTTTTTGCTCAAGGTTATCAGCACTCAACCACTTGAGTTATAGCTCCACTTCCAGATTTTTGTGGTTAATTGGAGATAAGTCCAAACTTTCCTGTTTGGACTGACTTTAAACCGTGATATTCACATCTCAGATATCTCAGTTGCTAGCATTATGGGAGAAAGCTAGCACTCAACCAGGTATAAATTTCAAGGGTAAATTTTGCTTATATGTATGTCCTTAAAGTCATTATTATTAGATCCAACTCACCTCCGTAGTACGTATGGCCCACTCTACCATATCTTCAGATAAAGAGAGTTGATTACCATGCAGAGCATATGGAGAAAACTTTCCTACTTTCACTGTAAGTTGAAGACCTTCTGGAAAATTCCAAATGTTCAGAATGTCATACTCTGACTCTAATTTTCTTTTCTCATCCAAAATCATTTCTTCTCCAGCAGGATTGTAAAATTGGATGTTCTTTATAAAAAGGTGCAACTAAAAGAGATGCATCATTATATGGTGAAGAAAAGCTCCTGGTTGCCTTTATCCAATTCTGAATTCTAGAATAGCACAAACAGCAATGAAGTATTCCAAAAGAAAATCTATGGAGGAATCCCTGAATCCCTGTCACTCAGAAAAAGAATAGACGGCCTTTTTCTAGAGAAATCAATACCAGGTAAATAGCCATGAATAAGACAATTTTTCAGTTACCGACCTTCATTGTTTTTATGAATTATTGAGCTTGCTAAACTTTTTATGCCAAAATCCAAAATTAAATGAAACTAGATGACTTATGAAAATATGGATTAAAAATGCTATTTGTAGGTCATCCTTTACAAGTACTGAAGTAATTCAGGGAAAAGCTGAATTTACACTTTTGAAAACAGTAGCTTTGAGCATGTTAAGGATATTTGTAACTAGATGAATTAATAAGCCACGTGGAAGCTAAGATCTAAGGATCATGATTTGAAGCCATGCCAGAGAAAAAAGTCCATGAGACACTTATCTTCAATAAACCACTCAGAAAATGACAGAAGTACAGCTGTGGCTCAAGTGGTAGAGCACTATCCTTGAACACAAAAAGACACAGAGACAGCATCCAGACCCTAACCTCAAGCTCCAAGACAAGCAAAAATATATCTTACTGGTTTCTAACACTAAACAAGAAATATACGTATGTAGGTATATGTATATTGTATACATACATACATACACACATACATACATACATACATACATGCATACATATTTCTTAAGAGCAATGAACACATGTATAGAGTTCCTCACAAAAATTTCACCCATTATTTGCTGGGTTTTGAAAAACACCTGAAATATTTAATTTTATACAGTAAGAGACCCTCTAAGAAGTGTCTTTGCTCATGGTCTGTGCACTGAAATATAGAAGAAATTACCTGTGCAGGGGAAGGCACTGTTTCTTTACTACTTCCCATTGTTTGAACTTCTGTTTGATGAAGAAGCATCTCATGGAGAGCCTGGGCCACAGTATACACAGCATTGTATATATGGTAACTGTCTCCAGACAGAGTCCTGTCAAAAATATGCCCAGGCAACCAATCCAAAGAGGCATCATGAAGACAATTGTCCCATGTTACACAGTCAGACTCAGAATTTGAACAATTAAAAGACACAAACCACAGCCTAGCAAGAACAAAGTCTTCTGGGTATTTGGAAGGATTAACTGCCTTGATAAAATCTGTGTATCCAGAAACATCTGCATGATGGTGTGAAAAAATGAGAGGTACATGGAATGAGCCTAGCATGAAATAGTTCTTTTTTGTGGTTAAATCCCACTGTGAATTCATGTGGCAAACTTTTCCTTTTATTAAAAGTTGCTCAAAACAAACCATTAAATCTAGTAGGGACTCATTATCACCATATATCATGAGGACATTTGCTGAAAATTTATTTATCTCACTATAAATTGTCATGAATTTGAACATTTGTGAAAGAGTTTTGCTTGAGATCACTAGCTCATAGGCTATGCAAACTCTGTTCTTGGCCATTTCTTCTTTCAATTTAACAAGAACCAACAAACCATTCTCATCCTCTGAGGTCAACAGTCCCACCCAATTCCAGTTGAAGTGAAGCAGTAAGGAGACCATGGCAGTGGCTATTGATGTGTCCTTTGGGGCCATCTGATACAGAGTAGGAAACTTCTTTTTTTTTTTTTTTTTTTGTTTGTTTTATTTTTTATTTTTTTTTTAATTTTATTTTATTTTATTTGAGAACATACTGTACAGAGGGGTTACAATTACATGGGCAGGATAATGCATACATTTCTTACCAAGCATTGCAGCCTCCTCCTTTGTTTACCCTTCACCTCCCTTCCCAGCCTCCCCCCTCCCCCCCCACCCAATCATACCCCCCCTCCCCCCCCCACCGACATTGTAAAGCTGGTTTTGACATGACATTTTGTACTTCTCATTGTTGCAACAGGTCCACCTGAATCCTTAAACGACTTGTTTGTCCCCATCTCCTCCACATGTTATACTGACATCAAATATAGTGAAAGCGGGGGTTACACTGTGGGGGAGGGACATACAAAGCAACAAAGAAATAATCTTATAAATGCGTTAGAAACACATGCATGAAAGAAAAAAAAACATTAAAATACATATTTGAGGGTTCCTAACATCACATTCTCCGACTTTTTCCGCTTGACTCATACCTATACTAGATATTGCAAATAAGGGAAACCATGGGACCTATGTTTCTTTGGGCCTGGCTTACTTCACTTAATATAATTTTTTCCAAGCCTTTCCATTTCCTAACAAATGGGGCAATGTCATTCTTTCTGATGGAGGCATAGAATTCCATTGTGTATATATACCACATCTTCTTGATCCATTCATCTACTGAGGGGCATCTGGGTTGGTTCCATATCTTAGCTATGGTAAATAATGCTGCAATAAACATAGTTGTGCTGGTAGCTTTAGTGTGGCCTTGTTTGTGATCATTTGGGTAAATGCCCAAAAGTGGGATTGCTGGGTCATTGGGGAGCTCTATGTGGAGTCTTTTGAGGAACCTCCATACTGCTTTCCAAAGTGGTTGAACAAGTTTACCTTCCCACCAACAATGAAGTAAGGTTCCTTTCTGTCCCCATCCCCTCCAGCATCTGTTGTTGTTAGAGTTCTTGATTTTTGCTGTTCTAACTGGAGTGAGGTGATATCTCAATGTTGTTTTGATTTGCATTTCTTTTATGGCTAGGGATGTTGAACATTTCTTCATGTGTCTATTGGCCATCCTTCTTTCTTCTTCAGAGAAGCTTCTCTTTAAGTCTTTTGCCCACTTACTTATTGGGCAGTTGTTTCTTTGAGGATTTGTTGTTGGGTGGTTTAATTTTTTGAGTTCCAAGTATATTTTAGATATGAGACCCTTGTCCGTTGTATGGCTAGTAAAGATCTTCTCCCAGTCCATGGGCTTTCTATTGATCTTGCTAGCTATGTCATTTGCCCTGCAGAAGCTCTGCAACCTTATACAATCCCATTTGTCCAAACTTTCTTTGATTTGTTGTGTTTCCGGGTCTCTATTCAGAAAATTTCGGCCTGAGCCAAGGAGACCCAGGGTTTCTCCTATTCCATCCTGTAATGTTTTCAGAGTGTCTGCTTTGAGTTCAAGGTCTTTGATCCATTTAGAGTTGATTCTGGTGCAGGGTGGTATATAAGGATCTAGCTTAAGTTTTCTACATGTAGTTAACCAGTTTTGCCACCACCATTTACTGAAGAGGCTGTCTGTCTTCCACTCTATTGTTTTAGCTCCCTTATCGAAGATTAGATGGCTATAGGTCTGTAGGTTCATTTCTGGGTTTTCAATTCTATTCCATTGGTCCTGAGGTCTGTTCTTATGCCAATACCAAGCTGTTTTGATTACTATGGCTTTATAGTAGAGTTTGAAATTTGGTATTGATATTCCTCCAGCAGTGTTCTTTCCGTTGAGGAGCGTTTTTGCTATTCGGGGTCTTTTATTGTTCCATATGAATTTTTGGATTGCCTCTTCTATTTCCTTGAAGAATGAGGGTGGAATTTTGATAGGTATTGCGTTGAATTTGTAGATAGCCTTGGGAAGTATTGCCATTTTCACGATGTTAATCTTTCCAATCTAGGAGCATGGGAGGTTTTGCCATTTTTTAAGTTCTGTGTTGATTTCCTTTTTCAAGATTTTAAAGTTTTCATCATAGAGGTCCTTCACTTCTTTAGTTAAGTTAATTCCGAGGTATTTTATTTTTTGTGGGGCTATTACAAATGGAGTTGCTTTCCTAATTTCAGCCACACTTTTCTCATTGTTGGCATACAGAAAAGCCATTGATTTTTGGGGGTTAATTTTATAACCTGCTACTTTGCCAAAGTTTTGAATCAGCTTGAGTAATTTGGGAGTGGAGTCTATGGGATTCTTTAAATACAAGATCATGTCATCTGCAAAGAGGGAGAGTTTTATTTCTTCTTTCCCTATTTGGATCCCCTTTATGTCTGCATCTTGTCTTATTGCTGTAGCTAGGCATTCTAATACTAGATTGAAGAGAAGGGGAGAGAGTGGGCATCCTTGTCTTGTTCCTGAGTTAAGAGGAAATGGCTTTAGTTTTTCACCATTGAGTATAATGCTGGCTGTAGGTTTGTCATATACAGCCTTTATTGTATTGAGGAATGTTCCACGGATTCCTAATTTTTCCAAAACCTTCATCAGGAAGGGGTGTTGGATCTTGTCGAATGCTTTTTCTGCGTCTATTGAGATAACCATGTGGTTCTTATTCTTGCTCCTGTTGATGTGATGAATAATATTAATTGATTTGTGTATATTGAACCAGCTTTGCATCCCTGAAATGAATCCTGTTTGATCGTGGTGTATGATTTTTTGGATGAATTGTTGAAGTCGGTTGGCCAAAATTTTGTTGAGAAGTTTTGCATCAATGTTCATCAAAGAAATGGGTCTATAGTTCTCTTTCTTTGATGAGTCCCTGCCTGGTTTTGGGATGAGGGTTATGATGGCTTCATAGAATGTGTTCGGTATTGAACTTTCTCTTTCAATTTCATTGAAGAGTTGGAGGAGAATTGGTGTGAGCTCTGCTTTGAAGGCCTTGTAAAATTCCGCTGTAAAACCATCTGGTCCTGGACTTTTCTTAGCTGGGAGGTCTCTTATTGCTGTTTCTATTTCAATGCTTGATATGGGCCTGTTAAGATAGTTTAACTCATCTTGGTTTAGTTTTGGCATGTCAATATTTGCTAGGAAGAGGTCCATTTCTGTCAAGTTCTCAAACTTATTAGCATAAAGTTTTGAGAAGTATTCCCTTATAATGTTCTGAATCTTGCTTGTTTCCGTGGTGATGTTTCCATTCTCATCTCTGAGTTTATTAATTTGGGTGTGTTCTCTTCTTTTTCTGATAAGATTTGCTAAGGGTCTGTCAATTTTGTTAAGTTTTTCGAAGAACCAACTCTTTGTTTTGTTGATTCTCTCTATAGTTTTTTTGGATTCTAATTCAT